GAGCACCTGTTATATTTTGGACAATCTTTCAGGCTCAGGGGCTACATCTGCAAACAAGACGCATGAACCTCCATCCTTAAGGGTGTGGTGACAGTGTGATGAAGGGGACGGGTAAGGGCGAGAGTGCCAGAGGTGAGATCAGTAGATCTGTCCTTGCTGCCCTGAGTGTCCCCACGGACCAGCAGCCTGGGCATCACCAGAGATCTTATAAAAATGCAGACTGTCAGGCTCCACATAGACCCACTGACTCTGAACCCGCATTTTAACGGTTTCCCACAAGGGTCGTGTGCCCGTTCACAATTTGAAAAACCCTGGAGTGGGCATTGTGGAGCTCTTGATTCCCTGTTTTTAAAACCTGTTATTACTCCCTTCTGAGAGTCATTGGCTCCACCATTCCAGGGACAGGAAAAAGAAAGGCACAAATTGGGTCACATCACTTACTTGCTCTTTTGCTCTGCATTAGATTTCTGGGGCCACCATAACAAATTCCCACAGACTCAGTGGCTTAAGACACCGGTCTTATATTCTGTAGGTTAAAAGTTTGGTGGGCTCCTCTGATTTCTCTGTTTCAAGGCCAAACTCAAGGTGTCGGCAAGGTTGGGCTCTGGGGGAGAACCCACTGCCAGGCTCATTCTGGTTGTTGGTAGAATTCAGTTATGTGGTTGTAGAACTAAAGTCCTATTTCCTTGCTGACTGTTGGCCCAGGGTCAAGTTCCTGTCCTAGAAGCACCTGCATTTCCTGGTTCATGGCCCCCTCTGTCTTCAAAGTTAGCAACAGTGGGGCAAGTCCCTGTCACACTTTGCATCTTTTCTGCTTCGTCTTCCACTGCAACTCTCTGACTCTTTTGCCCTCCTTGTCTACTTTTTTTTTTTTTTTTTGAGACAGAGAGAATGAGAGAGAGAGAGAGCACATGAGAGGGGGGAGGGTCAGAGGGAGAAGCGGGCTCCCTGCCGAGCAGGGAGCCCGATGCGGGACTCGATCCAGGGACTCCAGGATCATGACCTGAGCCGAAGGCAGTTGCTCAACCAACTGAGCCACCCAGGTGCCCCCTCCTTGTCTACTTTTAAGGGCCTGTGTGATTGCATCGGTCCCCCTGGAAAACTTAAGTCCATCTACAAAGCCCCTTCGGCCATGTAACGTAACATACAGGCTCCTGGGATTAGGACGTAGAAATCTTTGCGGGGGGGGGGGGGAGGGAGTATTCTGCGCCATCTCTGAAAAAAACCATAAGCTGCTCTCGTTACTGTAATGAACTTAACTTTGAAAATTTATATCTTTTAACAATAAGAATGGAATGAAATATAACTCTGCCCAGAAATCATTATTAGTTCTAGAAAAATCCAAAAATAGGACCTTTTGTCACTCCTCAGTTCTTTAATCTGCTTTCTTTGTCTTCTTCGTATATGTCACCATATCCGTATCTATGTCTTGCCCTCTGGAAATGTGCTCCTTGAGGGGCAAGTGCTAGTCTCATTCCTCTTTGTGTTTCTGGCACCCAGCATGGTGCCTGGCACACAGTAGGTGCTTAATGAATGCAGAAAAAAATATATACACTCATGGTTACATCCTTGAAATATGGGGATAAGGAAAGTCGGCGGTATTTTCTTAAAGGGGCTTCCCTATTAATAATATCAACAAAAAGTTTAAAAATCCCTTGTGTTACTCATAAGAACATAGGGTAGAATGGGGGTTACCAAGAGCTGGGGGTTGGGGGAGTTGGGGAGATGTTTAAGGGTACAGGCCTGCAGCTAATAGATAAATAAGTTCTAGAGATCTAATGCACACCATAGTGAATATAGTCAACAGTACTCTATTATAAACTACAAAGGTGCTGAGAGAGTAGGTCTTAATTGTTCTCACCAAAAAAAAAGAAATGAGAATTATGTGAAGGGAAACAGGTGGCAGCTCATGCTACCATGGTAATCGAACTGCAACAGAGAAATACATCAAACCAACACATCCTATGCTGTAAACTGAAACTGATACAATGTTATATGTCAATTACATCTCAATTTAAACTTGCCCAGAGTCATACTGCAAGACAGTGGCACAGCCAGGAATAGAGCTAGGATCTGGACCCACATACTTTGTTAAGAAAGCCTGTGATATTCACACCAATACCTCCTGGCATGCTCTGTTGCCTTTGAAACATCTCTCAGAGAAGCCAACCTTGTACCCAGCCTTGAAAAATGAATAGGGATTGGCCAGGTCGGTGTTGTAGGTGGGAGAAGGTGACCGTCTGAAAGGATGCTCCAAGTTCTAAAAGCAGCCTGAGCTAAAGACATGGGGCATAAACCCTCCTGTGGGAATGCAGGTTTGGGGGAGCAGGTCCCTGCCTTTTCTGTGGGCAGCGCTTGAATGGAAATCCAAGGGTCTGCACGTGCAGCCTGGGAAGGGAGCTGCCTATTATAGGATCCGCTTGCACCCACACTGACCCCTGCTCTGCCCTAGACTGCCTGGAGCAGGAAGGGGGCCCCCAAATCCCGTCGGCAAGCAGCTTTGGTTGTCTTCCAGGTCAGCTTAAAAAATCAGTCCCGTTCCACAGATACTCTCTGATTTCTCCAAAGCCACCTTATGTGGATTTCTCCATGTTCTTCCTGTACCTAGTCATGCTTCTGGCACCATCTCTTAGAATAAGAAGTTGTTGAACACCCCTGTTATGAAGCTGCACTTTTTATTTGCTCAGAATTTACCCCTGGTAACCTTTCGGGACTGTCTTTTAGTTTCTTATCTTGCTGAGGTCCCTTTTTCTTATTTGTGGACTGCAGGCACAGCTCTCTGTCGCCTGTGAAGACCTTTTGTTAGTTTGCCTTTGAAAAGAAACATTTCCTTTGCTTTCCTCATTGTAATCGTCCTTCTTGGGGCTTATTGAAATCTCCTGTAGCTTCGTAGAGGCAAGGTGGCGGGAACTGAAGCATTCCAGGTGATGATATCACATTGAGGTTTGGCGGAGGTTAGGACGATAGAGTCGGGGTTTGTCGTTTTTATTGCTGTTTTAGGGGAGGAGCAGATGCAACTGACTTGGGGGGACTTGTCTTGTGCCTGATGGCTTACAGTATCCTTCCTGATGAGGTGTGTCACCGTGTTAGTTTCTTCTTTGGTAAGATTCTACAGGCACTTAGAGCCACGAGCTTAGAGCCTATCACTTTATAAAGAACCATTTAATTTTTCCATGAGGATATTTGCCCCTGAGAATTCTCACGTACCAGGGTGCCTGGGTGGCTCAGTCATTTAGCATCTGCCTTCGGGTCAGGTCATGATCCCAGGGTCCTGGGATCGAGCCCCACATCCGGCTCCCTGCTCAGCAGGAAGCCTGCTTCTCCCTCTCCCACTCCCCCTGCTTGTGTTCCCTCTCTCGCTGTCTCTCTGTCAAAAAATAAATAAAAATCTTAAAAAAAAAAAAAGAATGCTCACCTACCACTTTTCCACTCAGTCGAGGGGCATTCGGAAACCTCCCTCAATTTGGCATTAGGTCACCAACTAATTACCCGAAGGAATGATCATGCTCTGCAGATGGAGACATTTCTGTGCCCTCTTCCTTCCACAAGATTTATAAAAATATGAAATGCAGTTGGTCTCTGGGAACTCTCTCTCTCTCTCTCTTTTTTTTTTTTTTTTAATTTCCTCATCCCCAGAAGGGCTCATTTAACCAAGCCATTTCCACATGTGTCCCTAAATATCCTTCAGATACTCTAGGGACTCTGTTTGTAAAAATAACCTTTGTTATTGGAAACATTAGAAATTTAAATAGTGCTTGCTAATTTCCCTCCTTTTACTTGTCCTTGCGCTCCCCTTTCTCGGAGATCTCTGACCGACCCGCACTATCTCAGTCACAGGTGGGGCTCACACCCGCTGCGGTGTGGAGCTCCTTGGAACTGTGGCTCATCTTGCGTTTGGCTGTTGTCAGTGGCACCTCGCCTGTAGACTTGCCTCTCCCTGTACCATTCCAGGGGGTGATGGCAAAAATGACTGCGCCTCCCAGGCAGTCTGTACTTTCAGAGCTTGTCATCCGACGACGCAGAACTCCAGCAACGCCTTCCGATTGCCACAGTCAGTCCGCTCTTTAATAGTAATTGCGCTGCTTATACTATTTGCACAGAGCAGATGGCCCAAGCCTCAAATGAATGTTTGATTTTGCAAGTCATTTTGTCATTTAAATGACGGGCACGTTTGAGTTGGGAAGGAATGGGAGGAGTAACCACTTGAGGGCAGCGGAAATAACAGAAATGCGGGGCCCCTGGGTGGCGCAGTGGGTTGAGTGTCCGACTCTTGGTTTCGGCTTGGATCCTGATCTCAGGGTCATGAGATTGAGCTCCACGCTCAGCATGAGGTCTGCTCCCTCTCCCCCTCCCACTCATGTGCTCTCTCCAAAGAAATAAATGAGTCTTTAAAAATAATAGAAATGCTAGTTCTGACCCCATTTCCCTTGCTCACTGCCCCCATCTTCCTAAAGCTGCCCGGGCAACAAGTGACTGCACCACCTGGAAGGCAATGTAGGTGCCTCAGTAAGGACCATCAAGAGCCCGAGGCTGAGCCGTCAGGGAACGACCAAGTGTGACTTCCCCAGGCCAGCTTTGGGGAGGCCTGGAAAGTTGGTTTTATAGAAGCCTTCTTTAATATTCCCTATAGATAACTTTTGGCCCTTTAGGATCTACCCTATGTTAGCATAATCAATCTGCTAAAAGGCACTTTGAGGAAAATTACAATAAGAATGCCAAAAGAAATTTTGTACTGCACTGAGTTGATCTGTCCACAGACATAACCGAGCCTTTTTACTTTGGGGGTTGATTTGTCTGCCTTTTGGATTTATTTGGTTTCTTTCAAGGTAGTCCCTCCCAGTATATCTGAAACTTTGGTGATACAGGATGTTTGACTCTGAGCTCAAAATCTCTAAAAGTTATTGGTTAAAAAAGAAGTTTCCCCCTCCCCTCCCCCCCCCCCACACCCCATTTCAATCCCTTTTCTGCAACTAAACATCTGTCTTCTTGTTTGTTCCTAGGATGGTCCAGATTCTGCCAGAGGAAACCGGACAAAGCAGGAGAGTGCGTGGCTGTTCAGGCTGTGGTACAGCTTTGACCACAAGTATCCTTTTCAGTGGCTTCCCTGTATTTGTGAAACATCGATGATGAAATTCTCTTACTGTCAGTGAACGACTTCTGATGAGTAAGGAAGATGTGTGCTTGGTACAGGTATAGTCAGTCCTCTCTTGGGCCACATGCAATGATCATTCATGACCTGAACCAAAATCAAGAGTTGGACGCTTAACTGACTGAGCCACCCAGACTCCCCCAGAAAAAGCATTTGACAAAATCCAACATCCTTTCATGATAAAAAGAAAACCTTTCAACAGATTAGGTATAAATGGAATGTATGTCAACATTATAAAGGCCATATATGACAAGCCCACAGCCAACATCATACTCAATGACAAAAAGCTGAAAGCTTTCCTCTAAGATCTGGAAGGATGCCCACTCTTGCCACTTCTTTTCAATACAGTATTGGAAGTCCTAGCCAGAGCAGGTAGGCAAGAAAAAGAAATTTGATTCTCCAGATCAGAAGGGAAGAATTAAAATGGTCTCTGCAGATTAAATTTAAATTAAAATAGTCTCTGCAGATGTCATGATCTTTTTTTAAAGGTTTATTTATTAGAGAGAGAGTGAGCACAGGGAGAGTAGAGGGGCAGAGGGAGAGGAGAGAGAGAATCTCAAGTGGACTCCCCGCTGAGCATGGAGCCTGATGGGGGGGCTTGATCTCAGGACCCATGAGATCATGACCTGCGCTAAAACCAAGAGTCAGATGCTTAACCAACTGAGCCATCCAGGTGCCCCTGCAGATGACATGATCTTATATATAGAAACCCCTAAAGACTCTACCAAAAAACTGTTTTAAAACTAATAAATTCAGTAAAGTCAGAGGATATAAAGTCAACATACAAAAACCAGTTGCATTTCTATGCACTAACAATGAACTATCCAAAAAAGATATTAAGAAAACAATCCCAGGGTGCCTGGGTGGCTCAGTTGGTTAAGTGTCTGCCTTCAGCTTGGGTCATGATCTCAGGGTCCTGGGACTGAGTCCCGCGTCAGGCTCCCTGCTCAGCGGGGAGTCTGCTTCTCCCTCTCCCTCTGCCTCCTTCCCTCTGCTCATGCTCTGTCTCTCAAATAAATACATAAAATCTTTAAAAAAAAAAGAAAAGAAAACAATCCCATTATGATACCATCAAAAACGATAAAATACTTAGGAATAAATTTAACCAAGTAGGTTAAGATCTGTACACTGAAAACAAACACTGATGAAAGAAGTTGAAGAAGACACAAATAAATGGAAAGATATTTGTGTTCATAGATTGGAAGAATTAATGTTAAAATTGCCATATTACTCAAAGCAATCTATAGATTCAGTTCATCTCTATCAAATGGTGTTTTTTAAAATAAAAACAATCGTAAAATTTGTATGGAGCACAAATTACCCTGAATAGCTAAAGCATTGTGAGCAAAAAGAACAGAGCTGGAGGCATCATACTTGCTGATTTCAAATTATATTACAAAGGCATAGTAATCAAAATAGTATAGTATTAGCATTAAAACAGATACACAGACCAGTGGAACAGAATACAGAGCCCAAAAATAATACCCTCACATGTTCGATCAACTAATCTTCAGCCAAGGTGCTGAGAATACATAATAGGGAAAGGACAGTCTCTTTAATAAATGGTGTTGGGAAAACTGGATATCCACATGCAAAAGAATGAAACTGGAACCTGTCTTACACCACTCACAAAAATCAACTCAAAATGGATTAGAGACTTAAATGCAAGACCTGAAACCATAAAACTCCTAGAAGAAAACATAGGGGAAAACTCCTGACATTGGTCTTGGCAATGAGTTTTTGGATTTAACACCACAAGCAAAGGAAACCATCAACAACATGAAAAGACAACAACCTGTGGGATGGGAGAAAATATTTGCAAATCCTATATTTGATGAGGGGTTAATATCCAAATTATATAAGGAACTCCTACAACTCAACAGCAGAAACCCAAGGACCCCAATGAAAAAATGGGCAAAGGACCTGAATAGACATTTTGCCAAAGAAGACATACACTTGGCTGGCAGATACACGGAAAGTTGTTCAGCATCACTAATCGTCAGGGAAATGCAAATCAAAACCATAATGAGATCTCACCTCACATCTGTTAGGATGGATGTTACCAAATGTCAAAAGATAACAAGTGTTGGGAGGATGTGGAGAAAAGGAAACACTTATATGCTGTTGGGTGGGATGTAAATTGGTGCAGCCACTGTGGAAAACAGTATGGAGGTTCTTCAAAAAATTAAAAATAGAACTACCATATGATCCAGCAGTCCCACCTCTGGGTATATATCCAAAGGAGATAACATCACTATCTCAAAGAAATATCTGCACTCCCACGTTCATAGCAGCATTATTCTCAGTAACGAAGATATGGAAATAACCTAAGTGTCCATCAGTGCATGAATGGATAAAGATGTGTGCGAGGGTGCGTGTATATAGTGGAATATTATTCAGCCTTAAAAATGAAGGAAATTCAGCCTTAAAAATGAAGGAAATTCAGCCATTTGGGACAATGTGGTTGAACCTGGAGGACATTATGCTATGAAATAAGCCAGGCACAGAAAGAAAAAATACTGCATGATCTTCCTTATGGGTGGAATCTAGAAAAGTCAAACTCATAGTAACAGAGCATAGAATGGTGGTTGCCAGGGGCTGGGGAGTGGAGGAAATGGAGAGATGTTGGTCAAAGGGTACAAACTTTCAGTTATAAGATGAATAAGTCCTGGAAACCTAATGTACAATATGGTGACTATAGTTAATGATCTGTATTGTATACTAGAAATTTTCTAAGGGGGTAGATCTTAAGTCTTTGCATCACACACACAGAAAAATGGTAACTGTGTGAAATGATGGATAGGTTAATTAGCTTGATTGTGGTAATCATTTCACAATATACATGTATCTAAACATCTCCTACACCTTTAATGCATGCAGTTTTTTGTCAGCCATACTTCAATGAAGCTGAGTGGGGAAGAAATTATTCCTCAAAGAGCAACAGGAGTGATCTCTGAAGTCTCTGAACATAAATTTTAGTGACAAGGATTTCTACTTGTTTAGTTTGGAGGAGAGAAACTAAGAACAGAAAAGCAGGCATAAAGTGTCTGAAGAATTAGATGAGGAAGGTGCCCATAGCTCATTCTATAGCTCCATAGATGATCAAACAAGAAAGTGTGGGCTTTGGCTGCATCAAAAGAGAGTTTGGCTGGGGCGCCTGGGTGGCTCAGTCGGTTAAGCGACTGCCTTCGGCTCAGGTCATGATCCTGGAGTCCCGGGATCGAGTCCCGCATCGGGCTCCCTGCTCGGCGGGGAGTCTGCTTCTCCCTCTGACCCTCCTCCCTCTCATACTCTCTGTCTCAAATAAATAAATAAAATCTTAAAAAATAAATAAACTTAAAACCATGAAACAGAGGGGGCGCCTGGGTGGCTCAGTTGGTTAAGCGACTGCCTTCGGCTCAGGTCATGATCCTGGAGTCCCGGGATCGAGTCCCACATCGGGCTCCCTGCTCAGCGGGGAGTCTGCTTCTTCCTCTGACCCTCTTCCCTCTCATGCTCTCTCTCAAATAAATAAATAAAATCTTAAAAAAAAAAAAAAAAAAGAGAGAGTTTGGCTGGATGGGAATGATCCCCACAAGCCAGGACGAGCAAGTGTGGTACCTCCTTCACTGAACAAGCCTGAAAATGGAAAAAAATGGGCTTCCAATTTAAGATAAGAGGCTCAGCACACACACATAGCTCTCTTGTTGTTCCCGGGCCTCCTTGGAATCACAAAAGAGAGATTTTGGAGTACTCGCAAGACCAAAGATAGAGGGAATTGGAGCAGAGAAAACCATAGCCCAAGACCAAAGAGAGTCTTGAGCCAGTTTGTCTAGGTGATTTATTAAAGAATGTTGTTAGTAACAGTTGCAGCAGGCCCCCCCTGTGTCCACAGATCAACTGGTAGCTGTTAATTTTCTCTTCAGGCCATAGCTCTCTAAAGAAAGTAGACCGACTACCTGGGGAGGGCTTGATAGAGAAACAGATCTTGAGGCCACCAAAGAATTTTCTCCCTAGAGTAACCTCCCCCCCCCCCCCCCCAACTTTGGCGTGGTCAGATTCCCCACCTGCTTGATGATCGGAGAAACTGAATGAAGACATGGGGGGCATGCCAAAGTAATTCACTCCTATATATGTACCTGCATGTCCTATATATGTATCTGTACATATATCCATATATATATATATATATATATTTTTTTTTTTTTTTTTTAAAGTAAACCCTACACCCAATGGGGGGCTCTAACTCATGACCCTGAGATCAGGAGTTGTATGCTCTACCAACTGAGCCAGCCAGGTGCCCTGCCAAATATTTGTTTTTTAATTTTTCTAATAAAAGCCTTAGAGTTGCAAGGCTTTTCCAGTCACAATGTAAGAACAACCTATTAGAAAAAGGAGCAAGCAAACAAGAAGAAACTTGGGAAATTAAACATAAAGTTTCTGAAATGAAGCCCAAAAATGTAATGGGTAGTTTAATTACATGGCGGAAACCAAACTGTTGATCTGGGAGATGAAGCTGAGGAAAAAAGAACCTGTAAGAATTCGAGCACAAAGTCAGAGATGTGCAAGAGAAGAGTTTCGAGATGAAGAGGTCAGAGCCAGATGGTCCAGAGTCCTTTAACAGAATCTAAAAGGAGAAGATAGAGACTATGGAGGAAAAGAAGAACCAAAGAAATAATGGAAGAAAAAAAAAAATCCCTTGGCTAAGGGCAAATTCTTGTCTTCAGAGTGGGAGGACCCACCTGGTGTGAGTAGCATGAATGGATACACTGGAGCATTCCATAACTAAAGAGAAAAGCAGGACTCTTCACGGCTTCCAAAGAGAAAGACTGGCAGCCTTTAAAGAGAAAGAATCCGAGGGGGCATTAACAAAATTGAATGTTAGAATACCATGTAGTATTGTCAGAGTTCTAGGATGAAAAGAAAAAGTCTGAGCCTAGAATTCTACACCCAAGCTGAGTGGGCAAAAAAAGGAGGGTGGCTTTCAGACATGTGAGAGTTGAGGAAGTTTAGCACTGTGCAGACTCTCTAAGAAGGAGGGGGGAAACCAACAACAACATAAGGATCAGATAAAATCAAAATCAGATCCAACTAAGGGGACAACAATGAAGAAGTCATTTTTTATAACCCAGAAGTGAACAAGATCAAAACAAAATTAAAAGAAGATCTTGTATTTTGCAAGACACTCAGGTTTCTCTTCTCACTAACAAAATTTAAATGACACTGTATTACATTTCTTTTAATAGTGTTCTAGCCACGGGGAACCTGGGTGGCTCAGTTGGTTAAGTGTCTCTTTTTTTTTTTTTTTTAAGTGGGCTCCATACCCAACACAGGGCCTGAACTCACAACCCTGAAATTAAGACCTGAGCTGAGATCAAGAGTTGAACGCTTAACTGACTGAGGCACTCAGGCACCCCCTAGTGTCTGACTCTTGATCTCAGCTCAGGTCTTGATCTCAGGGTCATGATTTCAAGCCCTTCATTGGGCTCCACGCTAGGCATGGAGTCTACTTAAAAAAAATAATGTTCTAACCACTCTACTTGGTTACAGGGAATAATATTCATATAACAATATTATTACAAATGCTATTTAGTGGTTTTTAACATTTAGATTCAATTCATAGACAAAGTATAGAAGATTTACTTATCAGTTATAAAATAGAATGCAAATGTTATATATCTGCAGTATAAAATTAATTGTAATCAAAATTAGGAAAAACTTGAAGAGGCAGGAGTATAAATGAATTAAATGTACCATCCTTCATAGGAAGGAGTTAAAAGCCTCTGACTAAAGTTTATAAATCAAGAAATAGAAAAAACTTATTCTCCTGGTGTAGACACACACACAGAGTGGAACACTGCTCAGCCATAAAAAAGAATGAAATCTTGCCGTTTGTGACAATATGGATGGATCTTGAAGCTATTATCTAAGTGAAATAAATCAGAGAAAAACAAATGCTACACTGATTTCACTGAAATGTGGAACCTAAAAAACAAAACAAAGAAAATCCAGATTCATAGATACAGAGAAAGATTGGTGGTTGCCAGAGGGGAAGGAGGTTGGTGGAGTGAAATGGGTGAAGGGGACCAAGAAGTACAAACTTCTTGGGGCGCCTGGGGGGCTCAGTCGGTTAAGTGCCTTCGGCTCGGGTCATGATCCCAGGGTCCTGGGATTAAGCCTTGCATTAGGCTCCCTGCTTGGCAGAGAGTCTGCTTCTCCCTCTACCCTCCCCCCCTTATGCTCTCTCTCTCTCTCTAGCTCTCAAATAAATAAATAAAATCTTTAAAAAAAAAGTACAAACTTCCAGTTATAAAATAAGTAAGTCATGGGGATATAATGTACAGCATGGGGAATATAGTCAATAATATTGTATTAATTTTGTATGGTAACTACATTTATTGAGGTGATCATTTTGCAATAGATACAAAAGCCAAATCACTACGTTGTACACCTGAAACGAAAATAATATTGTATGTCAGTTATGCCTCAATTAAAAAAAAAAAATGGTCTTTGGTGAAGTTGTAGTGGTAATTACCAGAACAACTGGATGGGACAGAGACTTGATATTTCATCTTGGCCCTTCAAAGAACTTGCATATTTAAAAATCTATCTGTAAATAGCTTTTTTCTCTCTTTTAAAGAAGTTGTTAGAGGGCCTTTTGTATTTGGGGACTGTGAGAATTTGGCTTTGAACTACCCGAGGCAGGCCACTGAAAGGTAGCCTTGGGGTTCCCATGTGCCTGTGTATTAGTCCTTCTAGAATCCGGCCTTGCTGTCAGCTTCACAGCTAGACTCAAAGTAGCCGATGGGCCAGCAGGGGCCATTCCCAGAAATGTGGTTGGAGGACAGTGGTCAGAGGGGGCTTGTTCGGTTTCGTAAAGAGGTTCAGCAGAGCCCACACTTCATCCATTGTGGAGTAATTCCCTACAAGAAGGATACTCCAGGGTCTTGCTTCCGTGTCCTCCCAGAGAAGAAGCCTTTTTTTCTCCTGTGCTGAGCAGTAAATATTGATGGTGCTCAGAGCAGTCATCCTCTGGGATACAGATGACTAGGATACCTCCTCACCTTCCTTTAAATTCTCTTGGCCGTTTCCGCCGTGGAGGTGGCCGTGTGAGCCTCCACCTTTTCCATGTTGCTGGGGCTGTGGGTACCAGAAACGGTCCAGGCGCTGTCATATCATGATGTGCGCATGTTTCGTGGTGCTTCCCACATAGGCTCATGCATTTGACGGCACAGATATCCACAGACTGACAAATCCTGAGCTCCCAGGGCCGCTGACCTTCACCTTAGAGTGGTGGTCTCAACCAAGGGCAGGTTTGCTTCTCAGGGGACATTTGACAATGTCTAGAGACTTTTTTTTTTTTTTAAGATTTTATTTATTTATTTGAGAGAGAGAATGAGATAGAGAGAGCATGAGAGGGGGGAGGGTGAGAGGGAGAAGCAGACTCCCTGCTGAGCAGGGAGCCCGATGTGGGACTCGATCCCGGGACTCCAGGATCATGACCTCAGCCGAAGGCAGTCGCTTAACCAACTGAGCCACCCAGGCGCCCCTAGAGACTTTTTTTAAAAAAGATTTTATTTCTTTCTTTGAGAGAGAGAGAGCACGAGAGGGGAGAGGGTCAGAGGGAGAAGCAGACTCCCCGCCGAGCAGGGAGCCCGATGCAGGACTCGATCCCGGGACTCCAGGATCATGACCTGAGTCAAAGGCAGTCGCTTAACCGACTGAGCCACCCAGGCACCCCGTCTAGAGACATTTTTGTTGTCACGCCCGGGAGAGGGGTCGGGGGTGCTCCTGGCATCTGGTGGGTAGACTGTCCCTACAGGGCAGAACAGCCCCCTACCACCAAGAATGCCCTGGCACCCAATGTCGGTAGCATCAAGGTTGAGAAGCCGAAACGCTGTCTCCTGTTTCCAAGGCGTGAGCTGGTTGTGTGTCCAAAGCTGGAATGTTGATTGAAACCAAAATTCTCATTCAACATAACAAGGAAGGGAGAAGGATGCTCTAAGTAATCAAATACTCTTTTTGCCTGAAAAGCGGGAACCGCCAACCTGAGAGTCAACAGTGAACGCTTAAGGCTGACAGGATGGTTTAATCTTTGATTCAGATATTGTAGACCCCAAGGATTTTCTGTATCGTACTGGTAAAATGCGGGCGAGGAGGCCTTTTGTGGGTAGCAGCCTGGATGATGTACTTGGGGGGATTTCTAAACACGTTGGGTTGGGTGTGTGTTTTCTCTGCAGACATTTTTTCCCTTAACTCCCTTTTTAAAGCTACTTGAAGCCCATCCTCACACACAGTGGCCCCCCGTTGACCACCACGCTCCCAGCCTGGTGTAGCCTGCTTGCTCGGTGTCTGACCAGTCCCCAGGTGTACGACGTAAGTACGGCGCGTCAGGGGCGTTTTCCTGCTCGCTGGGTCTGGGGAGTGTCTTCCCCAGGAAGAGGAAACCTGTTGCTCGCAAGCGTCCAAATCCAAGGGTTTTGCATCTCTAAATAAGATGATTAGAAATGGCCAACTTACGGGGCGCCTGGGTGGCTCAGTCGGTAAGCGTCTGCCTTCAGCTCAGGTCATGATCCCAGGGTCCTGGGATCGAGTCCCACATCGGGCTCCCTGCTCGGCGGGAAGCCTGCTTCTCCCTCTCCCACTCCCGCTGCTTGTGTTCCCGCTCTCGCTGTGTCTCTCTCTGTCAAATAAATAAATCTTAAAAAAAACAAAAATTAAAAAAAAAAAAAGAAATGGCCAACTTACATATGTTGATCTGTTTTGCACAGTAAGAGGGAAACCTTTTACCCGGGCTCTGGGGCCCCGTCACGTCTGCAGCTGTGGTGTAGTAGAAAGAACACTCGATTTGGAATCCGAACAACTAGATTCAAAGCCAAGCCCTGAGGCCATTTAAGTGTTCTGTGCCTTGGTTTTCCTGTCTGTAAAGTGGGCCTAGTCGTACAGGCTGGCTGTGAGATTAAAGGTTAAGGTAGAGAAAAACACTGTGAACCACAAAGCATTTAGCAAATGTGAGGATTCTTTTTGTGAATGCTTTATTTACATTGATATGGTTAGGTCCTTTCCGTTTTCAGATTCAGACTTAGCACAGTATGAAGAGAATATCCACACTGGTGGACATCTGAGCTTTGGGACTGACTTGCGAGCTCCTCATGTGGGTTGCTCGGCAAAAGGGTGGGGAGAACAATAGCTACCCACATAGAAGGCCTGGAGGAGAGGGAAAAGGCCCTTCTTCCTCTCTACTCTGCCACCCTCATCATCCGGTCACAAACACAACCATTATACCCTAGGAGAGAAGAACTCCTTAAATTTGTGTAGAGCCTTACAGCTCACAAAGGCCAAGTTTATTCTCTTGGCCATACTGTAAATAAGCAGCTACTACAGGGTTACAGAGGAAGGAAGTGCCAAGGTCCTAGGATTAGTAATTGGCAGAGCTGAGACCCTAATGCAGGTTTCAGAGAATTCGCAAATGACCTGCAATTGACTTGATTAGCGTTGGGAAAGCAGAATGCAAAGCCCAGATCTCGGAGAGACAGCCCCTGACCAGGTCAGTTCTAACGGGGCGGGGCAGCGGCCTTGGGAACGATTGTTTGCATTCAGGTGGTACAGAGGGGCAGGGGGCATAGCTGGGCGGGGGGCACTGGGGTCTGGCATGCTAAGGAACAGCCTCATCAGAGATGGGGCGACTTGGTCAAGAAGCAAGAATCTGTCCACTGTCGCTTTGGGCTGGGGTCCTGACCAGGGTTTCAGTCAGCTGCAGACACAGTGAGGCTTGCAGTTGTTGAGAGAGTGGGAGCATAGAGTCTTTGAAAAATTAATTGAGGAAGCCCAAGGTGAGAGAGCGGAGGGGCCCCCGGTGGGGTTTGGGGCCCAGTGAGGGTCTCGGGCCAGGCCGCCCTCGCGTGGCTGTTCGACACTCTGTGGTTCTCACGAATCACCTGGAGGGCGTTTGTACTTTGGGTTTAGTTGGGCCATGTTGAAGATGTTCCTTATTCACTCTTTGCACTAACTCTAAACCACTCAGGTTGGATATCCACCTTGAAAACAGGGTTCTTCCGTTCATGAGAGTGACCTCTGGTTGTTTAAAATGGGCACATTCCTGCAACACACGTTTGCAGGGTTATTCAACAGCATCTTCACGGCAGCCTTCAGGGGACAGCTGGTTGCATAATTTTACAAACCTCCAGCTTAACAAAACTTCTGTCAATCCTATCATCTAGAATTCGAGGAAGTGGATCGGTTTCATCATCTGCGTATCACGTTCATTAAGCTCTGATTTGGAAATCCCTGTCCACTGGGTTTTACCATGTCCTTGTTTCGGGTACTATTTGTCCGGGCTTGTGAGTTTCGTAATGGAATGGGTCAACATCCAATCTTGCCTTCTCCTGTCGGTGAATTTGAGCCCTGCTTCCCACTGCCTCGGGTCAGCCAGCGTGGGCCACACACGGGCTGGTGTAGGGGGGAAGGTGGGAGATGGGGGGGGGGTGCCTCGGCTGGGCTGCAGTAGGGGGCGTGGCTACATTTGCAGCATTTCCCTCCAAGCAGTTGCTTCACATTCCTCTCTGTCCTCGAAAGAGTATAATGCGTGCCAGGAGAGTCTCCCCCTGAAAAGGGGGAACTAAGAACCCTGGCTGCGGTATTTTGACATTATTACTTAGCGCTCACAGGCACGGGAGAAATGGAACGTGCTAAAACAGGGAACATGATCTCATTTGTTGTTAGGAAAACGATCGTGGGACAGATGGAGCCTCGGGACTTTCTAAATACTGATGGTGAGGAGGAATTTGGGGAGTTTGGAGTGAGTTTTGGAATTACGCTCTGCCTGAGTAGAGGATTCTTACTTGGTTGCACATTTGCACGCTGCCTCATTCCAGTGAGGATTTGAGGACGCAAGCAACAAGAGTTGCGTGCTCGCCTGTCAAAAAAAAAAAAGCCCGAGCGCTGGGTTAAGAGGAGTCATGCTGTAGAGCGTGGAGAAGTCGACATCACTGAGGAGTGATGCAGAAAGCAGGCTTGAGCTTGTCACCAGTGAGCGCACACAGACAGGCTGGGACGGGAGGAGGAGGTCGGCAGACCCACGAGTCCTCCTTGGGCGCTGAACAGGCCTTCCTCTAGCACCTGCTGTGGCTTAAGCCCCTCAGGGAAGGGCGCCAGGAAGAGGAGGCGGCCACCGTGCTTTGCTGGTTTCTCACCTAGAGGGGGGTGCAGGCATGCCGGGGAGAATCTGCCCGTGGCCTTGGACAGCGTGACTGGGGGGGGGGGGGCGGGGGGGAGGGTAGGAGGCTGTCGGGGAGGCGGGTTCCGTGCCCTGCACCGAGGACACCCTGCCGCACAGACGATGCAGGACTCCAGAAGCACTTTGAAGACCAGATGGGCAATAGGAGAGCAAGAGCACTTTAGCCGGAGTACTCTGGAACCGTGTCTGACAGACGTGCTGTGGGGGCAGGAGGGGAGCCAAGCGCCCCTCGTTTTGCTGGTGAAACCCATTAGAGGGTGAAGGGTTGTGTCTGACCCCGCGCTGCTTCCCGAGCTCTCCCCGCGGTCTAGAAGTTTCGAGAGGCCGCTGCTCGGCTCCCGCCCTGCCTGGCCCCGCTCGGTCCGCTCTGCTGCAGCTGCAGCTTAGCATGAGCTGCCGGCCGGTCCTCTTCCTGACCTGGGGAGTGTTCACATCCTCGCTGTGGGCCGAACCAGTCCGGAGGCAGCAGACACCCCACCTCTGCCTCCTACCAGCTGGACCGCCTGGGGCACATTCCACAGGTTCTCTGGGCTCAGGCCTCCTCCTCTGACCCAGGAGAAGGGAGGGGGGAGGGTGAGTCGCCAGCTCCTGTGACCGCCCTGGCGGGCCCGAAACACGTGATCGAGAAGGTGCCCCTTCCCTCTCGATGTCTCACTGCATCTACCAGAGGGCTTCCCGTCGGGGTCCTTCCGTGGGGACAGGAAGGAAATCCTAATTATGCGTCCCCGTCCCTCCGTTGCTGACTAGGATAAAGAGTAGTTCCGATGCAAACCGGGTGGGTTTAGGGGGGTTCTTGTGGGGCTGGAGGCCCTCTCAGAAGAGCTGCCCCGAAAAGAGAGGGGCCCGAGAAACCTCTTTGCATGTTTGCCCAGTGACCTTCCCCCTCCTTCTTTTGAGGGTTGGGAAGCTGAAGGCGCAGGCTGGCCTCCCTTTCTTCCCTTTTGTCACTGACCCCGAGCCGTCAGGCATTTAAAATCAGAACGGCTTCCTGGGCCTCGAAGCCTTGCTTCGGGCAACGGTGCCTTCCCTTGAATAGCCCTGGACACCTGGCATCCAGTATCCACGCTGGAGGCTCAAGGCAGGCGGGTCTCATGGGCCCCAGTTTTCAGGTGAGCAGTTGAGGTTGGGCTTGGCTCCCAGCCTAGAGGAAGGAGATCAGTCTCCCATTTGCCGCTGTCGTTCGTTGCACTTTTCAGAACCAAGAGCCGCTGAGAGAGGAAGACTCGGATTTCATCCTGACCGAGGGCGACCTCACCCTGACCTACGGGGACAGCACAGTGACTGCGAACGGCTCCTCGGGCTCCCACACGGCCTCCACGAGCCTCGAGGGCAGCCGGAGAACCAAGAGCAGCTCGGAGGAGGTGCTGGACCGAGCCCTGGGAGCAGGAGACCAGCCGGTGTCAAGCCGGGGCACGCGCCTAGTGTTCCCCCTGGAGGATAACGCGTGACTTGTCGCGTCCCCCCCCCCAGCCCCAGCCTGCCGAGATGGGGGTGCAGTGAGGACGGCTGCAAGCCCCAGGCTTGTCCAACCCGGGGCACTGACTGAGTGGAACTAATGCTTCTGTTTTATTGAGGTCTGAAGCTCTCTTAACATTTAAAGTTTAACCCAAGAGGCAGAGGGTGGGGCTTAGGTGTCTCTCAATCAAGACAAACGCAGACGTATTCCCCCTTTTTCACATAGTAGTGCTGTTCAGAGTCAAACAAACAAATAGCATGCTTTAACGGTCTGACTCATTCACCTGCAGAATCCGAGCAAGCTGCGGCAGGTGTGGGGAGGCCCCCCCAGGAGAGGTTTCAGGTCCATACACAGCAGCGCAAACCTAGCTGGCCGCGGGAATAGCGAGGTGGGGGCGGGAAGAGCAGGCCAGACGAAGGATCCCGAAGGCAGGCAGCTGAGATTGGACCTCCGAAGATGATGGGAAGCCCGTGGTCACGGGGACAGAACTCAGGAGGAAGCAATCTGAGCGCGGAGGCCCTCGCACCGAGGGCTGCAGGACCGTGATCTCACATGATCAGGCTTCTGGACTTTCTGCACTACCTGGGTTTCCTGTAGATTGAAGATCAGAACTCTATCCGTGAACATTTCAACATGGGGAAAGAATTAGAATTCCTTCTCTGGAAATCTCCAGAAAGAAGTAGCTACTGAAATGTTTAAAACCAAAAGCAAAATCGTGTTTTACTGTTGGGTTTTTAAAATTAATCCGAGGACAGGAGAAACCGTTTAGAGACCGATGACAAAAATCAGTCAGTTCTTCAGGGCTACCATGGAGATACCTACTGCGGGGTTTAGGAATAACACCAAAATTTGTGGGATGCTTCTATCTGGGGACGAGAGAGCAGCAAGGAGCCTAGGAGGCAATAGGCTAGTGTTCAGAGGGGGAAAAAAAAAACCACACTGCAAAAAAATTAACCACAAACACAAGATACTAAAGGTTCTAAAGACCGAGTAGAAGTCCAAACTTTGAGCTACTAAATGCATGAGATTTCCGTGGCCGGGTGAGGCATGAGAGGCAAGTCAAGGGAAAATTGAGCATTATTCAGTCCAGTGGACAGTTCCGTCTGCTGTAAGATTAAGAATCCAGATGTCTTAACACTGAGTGCCACGTAGAGAAGGGTCATTTTCTTGGTGTCTGGGGAGGTTTGTACCAGCCTAATGTGTGAGCATGGTTTGAAATGTAGGTTCTGAGTTGGGGTTCTCTGTGGGTGAGCTCTTCTAACTGCCCACACCTGCGGTAGCTAAAATACTGAGAGAGCTCTTGGAAACCAAGTTTGAGATTCTCCCTGTGTCTCTATGCTTCAGTGCTGGTGTATTTGAAAACCCAATCTCTAAAAAAAAAAAAAATGCTTTCAGAAAATGTGGGCATTTTTCTTCTTGTGGCAGGCAGAATAGTGGCCCAGTCGAGTACACCCATAATGAAACCAGCCATTTAATCTGCTTAACGCACATTTTTAATGGTTAATATTTAGATAAGACATTACACTTTGCTTTTTGAATTGAGAATTTGTGCAAAACAGGCAAAAATTAAGTTGAGCCATATGAAATTGCCGATATTGAACCAGTTTTCAAAAACAGAAATGGCAGTTTTGTATGGTTCGAGATAATATAATTAAATGATTTTTATTCCCCTCTTTCCTTTCTATGTACCCTAAAGTCCATTTTAATTTTATCATGGGCATCCGTGGGCTCTGTAAATGAGCTAAACCACCCATCTAACCCCATGAGACTCCGAATTCCCTAGGCTGGTGAAGGACTTATGAAAACCTCTGAGCCAGCGCCAGAGAAACAGCTTTTTCTTAGAGAGCCCCTGGACGGGAGGTCATTATGTCGTGGGGTCAGAGTGCAGAGAGCATCTCTCAGGCTTGGCAGATGTGGCCAGAACCAGCACAGGTTTTATTCAGTAGAGTTAATCTCAGTAATGACCAGTCATGCCTATAAACTCGAAAGGTGAGGAGGCTTTTGTGTGTGTCTGTTATTTGCAGAGGTGGAGGGATAGGCTGGTCAGCTCCTTGGCTGGGTCTTTATAAAGCCTTGCTCACCTCTTACGTTGCTTACTTATTTCATTTTGGGGGGAAGAAGCTAACAGAAAAACCCTGACAGGGTTCTTGAAAAGAGCCAACCGGGGAGGACCCACCCTCTCTTCATTCAGGTCAAGGCTTTGTTGTCATTTTGGTTTTCCAGGAAGCTTTCAGCAAATTAATAAGAAATTACCCTCATGAGGAGGAAAAATAACCAGAGTTCTCCAGCCTAGTCCTAAGTCAATCCATAGATCGTTGTGTTTTCTCCCAAAAGGGTCTTGTAGGCTTGACTGCAGACGTTTTATTTGGACCTACTTAAATCTAAGTAAATGGAGATTTGCCAAGATCAAAATTTTGCTAGGGTTGTAGTTATTTGGTTGGATTTTTTTATTCAGTGGATCGGAGTAAGTCACTGACCTGTGGTCCTAATTTTTGTTTGCAAGATATGGAGAATAATCCTGACCCTACCAGGGGTCCCAGGAAAGGAGTCTGTTCATCGAAATGCTTCCACCTTCTAGAAGCTTTATGCCTATGCTGAGAGGGGAAAAGTAGGTGTCACGAAGCTGCCAAACCATCTAACTCAAGGCTCTCTGCTGTCAGTCTGGCATAAATCAGATTGAAACTGCTGAGTGCATCCAATTTAACCTCTTAAACATACCCGTTCCGGGTTGGGTGGGGGGGATGAGGGTTCGGAGCTGGATGTTCTAGAACACAGGTTCTCAACCCTGGCTGCACAGTAGGATTCTCTGGCTAGTTTTGTTTTGTTTTTTTGGTTTTTTTTTAATATCAGTGCAAGGGCCCTGTGCTCAGAGATTCATATCCAGTAGGTTTGGAGTGGGGCCTGGCTTCCATACACTCCAGTAGGTTTGGAGTGGGGCCTGGCTTCCATCCCTGGATCTTCAGGGATTCTAGTGGGCAGCCAGGCTTGAGAGCCTTTTAGTCCAGAACTTGCAGCAGACCCTGTTTGGAACCTTAAAGAATGGCCTAGCAAACTAAGTTTCCTTTCATTGGTAGTCCTCTGGAACAAACCGAGTGTTGATCAATCAATACAGCCCGGACAACTGTGAAAGAGTTTCATGCACATCATCTTTGCAGAACTCTAGAACATACTCCGTAAAGTACAACCAGAAATGTCACATTTGAACACCTTCGTGCAGGAAAGGGAGAGACGGGTGACTTGAGTGGATGGATTGGGTTGTTGCGGGGTGAGGGGTTAAAAACCGTCCTCTTTGCCCCCTTTCGTGGAAAGAAAGGGGTTGGGTCTTAACAGAGTAGCTGACCATCAAGTGTGAAGGCTTTGGAGAAGCTGTCTTTTCAGTATAACCTGGGATTAAATGGAGTCCCCTTTGCAGTCCAGTCAGCTTGCTTTCTTGTCACACTTAGCTTGTCCCCAGGCCCGAATCCCTGCTGGACTCCTCAGGAGAGGGGTGGGCCCATTTAATGCCCAGAGTAGAGGCCTCAGGGTAAGGGGTAGCCCATGACCACTTCAAGGTCACGAGGCAGTGGTGTCGGCAGACTTCTGCGTGGGGCCGGCAGCGGGGCGGTGCGGACTCCAGCCGTGCCTTTTCATATTCTCTTTGGGGACTACAAGGAGACCTGAACTTTGTCTCCTGGAGAAGGAAATCTGCGCCACTGAAATGAGGCTGCAAATAGAGGAAGAGGGCAGATGCGATTCCATGGCCTCTGCCCATCCAGGGTACTCCCTGGGGCGGCCAAACCAGCCCCGACGCCTTGCAGCCCAAAACCCGCACTGCAACATCAAATGTCTCATCGGGCAAACAGCAAGGAGCTTTCCGGCTGTGCTCTCTAGACCTGAAAATGTCCTCCGTGGTTTGGGGGACAAAGGAAGTCTCCTTAGAAAACATGAAAAAGGTTCTCTCAGCTGTCCCCGAACATGTCAGTCGAGGGCGATTTCCTTCCAGACTGGAGGGCTGTTTCATGACACACACATTCCCTACCCCCTTGCCCCCCAGGTCCCTCTCTCCTCTTTGCCTGCAGGGGAAGTCAATGTCACCGTGTCAGGTACCTTGATATGAACAGAACCATTTCCAAACGTGGAAACGGCACTGATGCACTGAGGGGAGACTGGCGGCGGTCGAGGCCACCAAGCAGCTCAACAGAGGGAAGACTCATCCTCTCGGGCCCCTAGCTTGGTACCCGTTGTGAGTTCTCAGAGGTGCACCACCAAGCTGCTTTTCCCATCTGTTGTAAGATGTCATCTGGAACGAGGGCTTCTGGAAAGTCAGCTTGCTGATTCAGTAAGTATGTGACTTCTTAGTCCACTTCAGAAATGGGGAACTTGACGAGTTTCATACCCGCCTCTCGATGCTGATTCTGTAGATGAGTTCGTGTAGGAGTGCATCTGTCACGTGCATCACAGCGGTACCACGGAGTTCTGGTGTCTTCTGTTGGTCTTTCCTCAAGTGTCGGATGCTGTACTCCGCTACAGTGAAGCTGAAGGGAATCTAATGGCCAAGAGTTAGGAGCAACCCATCTGGATGCTGCTTTCACTCTGGTACCTTGAAGAGACCTTGCGCCTTTCTAAAACCCAATAAGGACAGTATACAGAGGAACACTCCAGAAAGCGATGCTGGTCTCTAGGAAAAGCAAATAGGCTCTTTGACAATCTTTTCAAAACCAGACCTAGAAATCAACCCCTTTTACCCAGTTTCAATTTTCGTAAGTAGGGCTTTTTTGGTGTGTTTTTATTTTTAAACGAACAAACATGTCTCGTCACGCAGTGCGAGCAGAACTCGTAAAGAGCAAAACCAAAGTTTTTGATGTTAGTTTTATTTTTATAAGGCGGGGTAGAACCAGGGCCCACACGGAACACACAGGCTTCCGGTCATCTGCCACACGAGCCTGGGAGAAGATAAGGAAGGTCTGCCTGTCCGGCCGCGTTCTGGAAAGCCCTGAAATGCACAGGAGAGCCCCGGAGAGAGGCCTCCTTCTCTTCAGGATGGCCGCCTTTTAGAAAGGGTTAAGGGAATTGCCACGTGTCAGGGTCAGGAGAAACTTCCAGGGGCTGGTGGATGCGGGAGGAACTCAGACCGCAGGGGCTTTTGGACAGCACGAAGAACTCTACATGTGCTGTCCAAAGCACTGAAAGACAGGCCCCAGGGCTCTTGGGTGACTGTCCCAGCGCTTGGACATTTGGGGGTGGGCTTTGGGGAAGCAGAGGAATGATTTCCGGGTGTGTGGGGGGGGTGTTCACGTCTGGGGATTTGGGACTTATCGCTGAAATCACTTGTTCAAAGCATGACTTCAGAGCCAGACCACCTCCTCGTAGGTTGACTTTTGATTTTTTACATAAACTACATCTGGTCCTTCTTAGGAAGTTTCACTCTGTCCCATAACATGATTAAATGGGAAGAGGCCACCAAGATCCATTTAAGAGGTGAAAAGCAATTTTTAAAAATAGGATAGGATGAATTTAACCTGGGATGATATGCCCTTCTGGGGAACGTTTTACAGAGAGCTCACATAATGTAATTGGGGAGAATTTTGTCTTCTATGTCCATTCATCAGTAGCAAACCGGTGGTTTTATAAAGTTAACATTATAGTATGTTATATAAATAAACACGTTATATGAAATAAAAGTATGTTGAACTGTGAAAAAGTGAAGACTTGGAGTTATCAGCAACCTTTATGTGCACTTAAGGAAAACTGCAGTTAGGCCCCCAAAGTGCTACCTTACCCTAGCATTTTACTTCACGTTCGCCTTTGTGTGTATGTTTAGATTGATATTGTAAAGCTAGCTACATGTTTTCCTGCTGTTGACTGATATTTAACACATTTTTTCCCAAAGCTTTTTTTCTTTTTTTTTTTTTTTACAAAACTCAAAATAAAGAGATTAACTGGCTGAGCTAATCTTTTGCATTTTAAAATATCGTCTGTTTGTTAGTAAGAAGAAGAATGCAGTGCGATCCTTTTCTTAGTCTGTTTCTTTCCCTCACTGGGAGGTGTTTTCTCTGGGTGGAAACTATTGCTCTCCAGCTCCCCTAGACCCAGGACCCACAAATTAAGGCTAGCTAGCCCCTCCGGACCCAATCCGGCACAGCACCTATTTTTGTAAATAAAGTTTTATTGGAATACACTAGGCTCCTTCATTTGCATAATGTCTGCGACAGCTTTCGTGCAGAGCTGAGTAGTTGTGACAGGAGTGAGCAGCAATGTGCGCATAAAGCCGGGACCATCTGACTTTCTACAGCAAAGGATTTTGCCAAACCCTGCTTTAGGTGCTTGAAAAACTTGAGTTTCAAAACAGGGTCTAAAAATCACAGTAGCAGACTTCTGAGATTATTTAAATGTGCCTTGGGATTAAGAGAAACACTTTAAATCTGGTCTGTGTGGTAACTTCCGGCCTACAACAGTGGTGAACAGACTTTGAGTGTTGGATAGTTGCTAAGGTTCTTGAACTCAATACAGTTTCCTTGATCGTCTTCATGAATTCCTTTGTAGGCAGACTGGCTTTTCCCCGAACCACGCAACTGAACTTCATCAAAAAATCATCCTAGCAAAACAAAACGAATCTTGTCATTAACACTGACTCCGGAGTCCTTTAATAGTATAATTACAAAAACACCAGACAGAAGAACTTGCAAGTGAAAATTCGTGTCAGCTCGTTAGGGCTCTCCCACCCCAGGGAGAGAAACCACTTCTTAAAAATTGGTTTAGGGGCAGGTGTAGGGGGAGCTCTTTGAAAAAGAGCTGAATGAGTCCGGTTTAAACTAGTGGCACTCAGACCTCTTATTTAATATTAGGTCATGTAATCAAGGTACACGGGACTGCACTTGGCCCTCAGTCACACTGATGATTTGTCCAGGCACCCGCTGCTGCTGGGACACGGTACCCGATCGCGTCTCCTCTGCATTCTGAGAACACCACGTTGGAACAGGCCCAGCAGAGGCAGGTGCAGGCTGGGGACGCGAGCGTTTCCTACTGTACGGCTCTAATGATCCGCATCGTACTGTCACTTCCTTACTGGAAACTTCCTTTCAACCAATGTGTCGGTCGTCATTTAATATCTGGTGCCATTCCTGCTCCGCAGAGCTGCACAGCGGGTGGTCCCCAAGCCGAGTCCCCATCTCTGCCTCCCCCGTGCTGGGGCGACATGCTGAGTGCCCCGCTGCATGCTGGCTGACCTGGAAGGGAAGGGACAAAGCACGGTTTGAACCTCAGAACACAGAAAGCCCGAGACAGAAAGCCTGATGCACTCTGCCAATGGAAGGCCTCTTCATTTATTTTTTTTTTTTTTAAGATTTTATTATTTGACAGAGAGACACACAGCAAGAGCGGGGAACACAAGCAGGGGGAGTGGGAGAGGGAGAAGCAGGCTTCCCGCGGAGCAGGGAGCCCGCTGCGGGGCTCGATCCCAGGACCCTGGGATCATGACCTGAGCCCAAGGCAGACGCTCAACGACTGAGCCACCCAGGCGCCCCAAGAAGCCTGTATATAATCTTCCTTCTCGAAGCTGCATCCTCTGGGGCTGGAAGTCCATCCCGAATCAGAAACTGTCATTTCTGCTCTGTGAGGACAGACCCGGAGAAAATGCGACCCAAGAGGGATTTGGTGAGGATAAAGATGGGACAAAGATGGGGGCACCTCTACCAGGATAACTGCGCTTTCTGCAACTGCTGCTGGGGTGCGGGGGGGGGGGGCGGGTGAGGAGAACAGAACATTCTGAGACCTGCTGGGCAGAGTGGGGGGAAGAGCTGGGATCGAGGGCGTACCTTCAGGGACTGACCGTATAACCACCCCTCCTTGGCTCTGCGCTCTGGGTCATGTGTGCCAAATAAATCACGAGCCGACGATCGGCTGTTCCATAAAGCAGAGGCTGTCTGTAAGCGACAAAAACCCCAGCTTCCTACCTCTGGGGCCTCTGAGCGGTTTCCTTGTGTCATTAGGACACACTGCTCGTGTCACCGTACGGAAGCCGCAGAATGGCGCGCCGACCCGGCATGTCTGTGCTATAGCTCTGCCTCCAGTTTCTTGCTTTCCTGTGACCCTTCCTCTTGTGCTCTGTGCCAAGCTGGACGTTATTTTCTAATGCGGTGAAACTGTCCATCAGCTCAAGAGGACTAGCGATGCAGAGTTTGGGGAAGAAGCATTTTCAAGATGATGGAAAGTGTGCAGTCAAGATTCACATTAAACAGCTAATTGCACAAACGCCCCGAGGCCTTTCTATGAACCTTTAGTATTGTTAGTGCAGGTTATTTGCATAGAGAAAGAGCCGCCATGTCAGATTTCAGTAGAATTTAGTCTAATGAAAACCGAGTTCCAGAAGGGCTAACTCTGGTTCCAGATAAGATGGAGCAAATGCATTTCTCCTTATTCCTTCCACAAAGTGTCACTAGAATCCCCAAACATGATACATATGGCAAAGATAAGACTCTGGAGGGTGGGGAAAAGAAGGCGGACTGACTGCAGACCTTGGGAAATGAGGGACAACAGACCTGTGAGTTCCCTCGGTTTTCTTTCTGCCTCCCCCATATCCTGGAATAGACACCGAAGATGCCAGCAGGCCAGATGTGCAAATGGTCACCGACCAAAAAGCCCCAAGAAAAGCCCATTATCTCTAGCCAAAGGACAGGGAAAGGGTCAGCCTAGAAGCCAGAAACGAAGCACCACACACACAAAACCCCCCCTCCTGTCAGCAGAGGACTAGCGGGAAGCCAGGACTTCGAGAGTCCCACCCCCACCTGGCAGTAACCAGGGGTGCATCCCTTCCTCCACCAGCAGTGTCGCTGGAGGCCTGCTAAAAGAGAAGATCTAAATAAAATTCAGAGAATCAAATGTATCCCAAATATTCAGGACACCATTAAAAAAAATCACTTGTCAAACCAAGAACCAGGGAAATTTTGGCTTGAATGAGAAAGGATAAGTGACAGAAGCCAACCCTGAAACAACACAGATTCTGAAATTATCCTCTCTCATCAGTATGCTTCCGTGAGCCATTAGGAACACACTTGGAACAAATTAAAAAATAGAAATTCTTGGCAAAGAAATATATATATATATAAAAGAACCAAATGGAAATTTTAGAACTGTAAAGTACAATAACTAAAATTTTAAAACCTCACTGGATGGGTTCAATAGCAGAATAGAGATGACAGAGTAAAGAATTAGTGAATCTGAAAAGACAGCTATAGAAATTATCTGATATGAATAGCAGAGAGAAAATGAGTGAAAAAGGATGAACAGAGCCTCAGGGACCTGTGGTACTACAATAACTGACCTATTCTCATTTCATCAGAGTTCCAAAAAGAGAAGGACAAGAGATTGAAGCTTAAAAAAGTACTCGAAGAAATATGGCTGAAAATTTCCCAAATTTGGCAAAAGATGTAAACCTACAGATTCAAGGGGCTGAGTGAAACACAAAGAAATCTACACCAGGATACAGCATAATCCAACTTCAGGGAAGACAAAGAAAAAAATCTTGAGAGCAACTAGAGAGAACTGATGCATTACTTACAGAAACAAGGCTTTGAATGTCAGTGGATTTCATATCTGAAAACATGGAGGCCGGAGGAAGTGGCACAATACTTTGCAAGTGCTGAAAGAAAATAATCGCCAATGCAGAGTTCTATATTCCACAAGAATATCCTTCAGGAATGAAGGTGAAATAAAGACATTCTCAGATGAAGGAAAACTAAGAATGTGTTGTTAACAGAACTGCTGTAGTACGAAGAACCACTATAGGAAGTTCTTCCAACAGAAAGGAAATGATAAAAGAAGGAAACAAAGCATCACAAATGAAGACAGAACAACAGAAAATAGGAGCAAATTTAACAGACTATCCTCTTGAGTTTAAAGAATTATATTTGATAGTTGAGGCAAAAATTATGACACTGTATGACGTAGTTCTCAACATATATAGAAAAAAAATACTAGAGAATTACAAAGGGGACAGGATAAAGGAACCTAAAGGGACATGAAGTTTGTATACTTCCACTTGAGGTAGTGAAATGTTGAGACCAGTAGATTGCGATTAGTTGCAAAAGCACTAAAATAAGCATACAAACAAAAATACCTTAAAATGCTGCAGGTAAAATGAAGTTCTTAAAATTATTCACAAAACTCATAGGAAAACACAAACAGGGAAATGGGAACAATAAACAGAGGGAACAAACAGAAATCAAGTTTTAAAAATAGCAAATTTAAGCCCTATAAGATCAATAGTCACATTAAATATAAATGGTCTAAATTCACAAATATACAAAAAGAGACCAGCAGAATGGTTTTAAAACATGACCCAACAAAATGCTGTCTACAAGAAATTCACTTCAAATACGATATAGGTGGGTTGAAAGTAAAAGGATGAAAAGAATGTGCCATATAAACATGAATTGAAAGAGAAGTTGGTGCTGTGAGTCCTGGACACTTGTCATGAAGGGGTCTAGTGAGCTACTGCCATATGCTAAGTCTGATGTCACCAACCAGCTTATAGGTTTGCAGTTGAAACGACACGGTTGTAAGCTCAGACAGTTGCAGATCACTAAGTGTCCTTATGTTGCAGTGATGCTAAAAGTGGCAGATCATTCAGGCCAAGTAAAGAACAAGTCCTTTGAAATGACAATTTCAGAATTTCTACAGGCAGTTCAAAGAAATTGCTACAATTATTGAAACTGTGTGAAAACTGATTGGTTGATAGACTGCTATCATTGTTCTAAAATCACGGGCTTCACTTTCTGCAACAAAACTGCATAAGGACCAAAGGATATTTACTGAATGAAAGTTGAATTTTGGTTTTTCCATTTTTTATTTTTTTTATTATTTTTTTTAAAAGATTTTATTTATTTATTTGAGAGAGAGAGAATGAGAGAGAGTGAGTACATGAGAGGGGGGAGGGTCAGAGGGAGAAGCAGACTCCCTGCCGAGCAGGGAGCCCGATGCAGGACTCGATCCAGGGACTCCAGGATCATGACCTGAGCCGAAGGCAGTCGCTTAACCAACTGAGCCACCCCAGGTGCCCCGGTTTTTCCATTTTTTAAACAATAATCAGAAAAACAGGAATTAGTGGTGATCAGTGCACAACTTTCTGAATGTACTAAAAGTCATTGAATCAAACACTTTAAAGGGTGAATTCTGTGGTATGTGAATTATATCTCAATAAAAAAATCAGGAAAAAAGGGCACCTGAGTGGCTCAGTCGGTTAAACATCTGACTCTTGATTTTGGTTCAGGTCATGATCTCAGGGTCATGAGCCTGAGCCCCTCATCAGGCTTTGTGCTAGGTGTGGAGCCCGCTTAAGATTTTCTATCTCCCTCTTCCTCTGCCCCTCCCAACCCCTCATGCTCTCTCTCTCTCTCAAAATAATCAGAAAAGAGAAGAGCGGTTATATTAATATCAGATAAAATAAACATTGGAGCAAAGAAAATTACCAGGGACAACAAAGGAGAGTACATAATGGTAAAAAGGCTCAACCCACCAACAAGACATAGCAATCCAAAATGTCTACATATGCAGCAAACAACAGAACTTCCAATTTTCTGAAGCAAACCTGAAGGAACAGAAAGGAGAAGTAGACCTGTCCACATTATACTTGGAAACTTTAATACCTCTCTCTCAACAACTAATAGAATTACTAGACAGAAAATTAACAGTGATAGAAGGAACTATATAATACCATCACCCAAACAAGACCGAACTGACATTTATACAACACTCAACCTAATAACAATAGAAACACATTCATTTTTTAAAGATTTTATTTATTTGAGAGAGAGGCACACACAGAGAGAACATGAGCGGGGGGTGGGGCAGAGGGAGAAGCAGCCTGACATGGGGCTCGATCCCAGGACCCCAAGATCATGACCTGAGTTGAAGGCAGATGCTTAACTGACTGAACCACCCAGGCACCCCGAGACACACTTTTTTTAAGCATGCATGGAACATTCACAGCACAGGCCATATCCTGGTTCGTAAAACAAACCTGAACAGATTTTGAAGAATTGAAATAATACAGAGTGTGTTCACTAATGATGGAATCAAAATCAGAAAGATAGCAGGAAATTCTCCAGATCCTTAGAAATTAAAGAACACACAGAATTCTAAATAATCCATGGAATATTAAACAACAATATATTGAATTAAAATGAATATGCAACATATCAAAATTTGTGAGACACAACCAAAGCAGTGC